GGCAGTTCTGAAGGCAAAAGGGGGTCCAACCCGTTACCAGCGTGGTGTACCTAATAAAGTGGCCGGTGAGTGTATACTCACATTTTAAATTATGAAAAGTCCCATGAGCCTTTGCTGCCCGAGCAAATGTTGAATTTTCTCCATGTCCATGGGCTGAAAAAAAATGTGGGCAACTGCACTGGCTGCAGCTTAATCATAAAAAATACAACTTTCCTTGAAATATTTGCATTTCGTGGATTATATTACTGCATTTGGTCCACCCCTCTCAGATTGATTTTAATTTTGGCCCTTTCAGAGAAAATGTTTGGGCACCCCTGCTCTATGAACAATAAAGTAAATCAAGGCACTAATGATCTATTGTTTGGCTGATAGTCCTTTTCTGCATGTGAACAAACTGTGCTGATAGTCATCTTTAAACTTGTTTCTCCAACATTTGCTTTTAAGGCTGAGTTCACCTGAAACTCCTCAGACTGAAGAAGTCTCTTAGAAGAGAGACAAAAAGTTTCATTAAAGAAGAACCCATCCAGAGGACATACTYACCTTTCTTTTTGATTTTTCTGCCTGGATTACTGAGATGCAKCAGGACKTTCTGGTTAAAGTTAGKATGTTATTTCTGTGCATGAGTGGGTTTTTCTCCAGGTTTTCTAGTTTTCTCTCACAGACCAAAGAACATGATTTTTAGGCTAATTGGTAACTCTAAAATGTCCTTAGATATGAGTGAGAGAGTGAATGGTTGTTTGTCTCTCTGTGGCCCTGTGATAGACTTGCAGTCTGTCCAGGGCAGGGGCGGACTGGGGCAAAAAAGTGGCCCTGGAATTTAGTACCTGACTGGCCCATTCAAGGTCCGGGCTGGCAGTTGATGTCTGCAAATGCTGGAGGCGGAAACAAAAAACGCCATCTCAGGGCACTGTACAAAATCTAAGGATGTAATGTTGAGGAATAAGTAAAGTTATTAAGATAGCAGAGCAGCAGTTAGCTTACAGGCATTGACCCTCAGAGTTCCTTATGGTTATTTTTGACTCATTTTGATTTTACCTCCCAAAAATAACATTATTAGAATCTAATGTGGTATCATTTTCTTTTTCCAGCACAACATGAACTGTGTGAACTTAAACTATTTTTTCATTTGAATATACTGTTATTGTATATTAGACCTTATTTAAATAAATAAAATAAAATAAAATAAAAATTAAAGTGGGCAAAGTTATTTGTGAAACCCACAAACATGATTTTTATCTTTTAGAATGCCTATGTATGATGGAAATTTCTAAAACTGCTGTTAAAACATTTTAAGCAACACAGTTTTATAAAATTATCAGCTACTGAGCACTGTTTGGACCTAGTCCACACATGATAATTACTATTTATTTAACAGCTAAATGCATTGTTTTAAAAGTTAGCGAACTAGAAACAAATACAGCCACCTACATGACTACCATCCTCCTCCTGGTCACGTTGTTCTCCAGACATATGTTCCAGTGTGGATGAGGATGATGCACCAGCACAAAATAAATGTCAGTTTCTGAAACTTGGCTGAATTTGCTTGTAGATACTTTTACTTTTCTCTCAATTTTTGTTCTCCTCCCTGATGTTTATTCTTCATTTTTGCTGTTCTTATTTTTATTATTCATTTTCTTCTTMYTACTACTTGTTCCTCTTCTTCAGCAAACTTTTCTTCTTCTTCGGTCTTTGTTGGTGGTTGGTAAATAATGAATTGGTGCATTATCGCCATCTACTGGTATTGAGTGCAACTACACAACTTTTTTTCCTCGCTACCTGCGCCGGTCCAGTGATGCACCGGCCCACCAGGAAAAGTCCCGGTACTCCCAATGGCCAGTCCGCCCCTGGTCCAGGGTGTCCCCTGCCCCTCGCATAGAGACTGCTGGATATATTGGCTCCAATGACCCTAAAAGGGAGAACCGGGTAAAGATAGTGGATGAATGGATGACATAAATGTAAACTACAGAATTTTTTTATTTTATTTTATTATTTATCATTATTTATCCAGGCAAATCCCWTTGATGTCGCAGATATCTTTTTCAAGGGTGGCCTGGGCCTGAAGACAACCTATTGTACAACTCCTGACAAAATTTATGGAATCACCTCAGAGGATGTTCATTCAGTTGTTTAGTTTTGTAGAAAAAAAGCAAATCACAGACATGACATAAAACTAAAGTCATTTCAAATGGCTACTTTCTGGCTTTAAGAAACACAAAGAAATCAAGAAAATAAATGTGGTAGTCAGTAACAGTTACTTTTTTAGACCAAGCAGAGGGAAAAAATTTATGGAATCACTCAATTCTGAGGAAAAAATTACGGAATCACCCTGTAAATTTTCATTCCCAAAAGTAACACCTGCATCAAATTAGATCTGCTTGCTAGTCTGCATCTAGAAAGGAGTGATCACACCTTGGAGAGCTGCTGCACCAAGTGGACTGACACGAATCATGGCTCCAACACCAGAGAAGTCAATTGAAACAAAGAAGAGGATTATCAAACTCTTAAAAGAGGGTAAATCATCACGCAATGTCGCAAAAGATGTTGGTTCACAGTCAGCTGTGTCTAAAATCTGGGACAACATGGGAAGGTTGTTATAGGCAAACATACTGGTAGGCCAAAGAAGACATCAAAGCATCAAGACAGAAAACTTAAAGCAATATGTCTCCAAAACAGAAAATGCTCAACAAAACACATGAGCAACGAATGAGAGGAAATTGGATTCAAAGTCTGTGACCGAACTGTAAGAAACTGCCTAAAGGKAATGGGATTTACATACAGAAAAGCCAAACGAAGCCATCATTAATATCTAAACAGAATAAAACAAGGTTACAATGGGCTAAGGAGAGGCAATCATAGGTTGTGGATGACTGGATGAAAGTTATCTTCAGTGATAAATCACAAAACTGCATCCAGTTGATGATGCTGGAACTTTTGTTTGGTGCCATTCCAATGAGATTTATGATGATGACTGCCTGAAGAGAACATGCAAATTTCCACAGTCCTTGATGATATGTGGCTGCATGTCAGATAAAGTCTCTAGGGAGATGGCTGTCATTACATCTTCAACAAATGAACAAGTTTCTGTTGATATTTTGAACACTTTTCTTATCCCATCAATTGAAAGGATGTTTGGGGATGAYTAAATCATTTTTAAAGATGATAATGCATCCTGCCATAGAGCAAAAACGGTGAAAACATTCCTTGCAAAAAGACACAGAAGGTCAATGTCATGGCCTGCAAATAGTCCAGATCTCAATCCAACTGAAGATCTTTGGTGGAAGTTGAAGAAAATGGTCCACGACAAGGCTCCAACCTGCAAAGCAACAACAATCAGAGAAAGTTGGAGTTACTGTAGATTGATGAAGAGTGTTTGTCACTCATTAAGTCCATGTCTCAGAGACTGCAGCTGTTATAAAAGCCAGAGATGGTGCAACAAAATTGTAGTGATGTGTTAGAGTGTTCTTTTGTTTGTTTTTCAGGATTCCATAATTTTATTCCCTCTGCTTGGCCAAAACAGTCAACCGTTACTGACTACCACAACTTTTATTCTTGATTTCTTTTAGTGTTTCTTAAAGCCACAAAGTTGCCATTTGAAATGACTTTAGTTTTGCGTCAAGTCTGTGATCTGTTTTTTTTTTTTCTACTAAATTAAACAACTGAATGAACATCCTCCAAGGCCGATGATTCCATAAATTTTGCCAGGGGTTGTATATGTTTTTGGGGGTGGGGGAAAGTACCCGGAGCAAACCCATACAAGCACGAGGAGAACATGCAAACTCCACACAGAAAGACCCCAGGTCCAAACCGGGGATTGAACCCAGGACCATCTTGCTCTGAGGCGTCGGTGCTAACCACTGAACTGTTGAGCTGCCAGAAAAGCTGTTCAAAATCCCTGTCTTCCTTACAAAAAGCTTTGGTCCAACTGATTCAGGTAAAAGTCTTTGTATAAGATTCAAAGTGTTTATCGTCATCAAAAAGAATAAATCAGTAGGTCCTCTGGATGGTTCTTCTTTAGTGAAACCTTTCGTCTCTCCTCCAAGAGACTTCTTCAGTCTGATGAGTTTCAGGTGAACTCAGCCTTATAAGCTCCGCCTCCACCTGGACAAACAGGTTAGTCATATGCAAAAGAGGGCCATCGCCTACCAATAGGCTTGATTAGCTCTATTGTTCAAAGAGGGTCATGTGCCCCATCACCTGACCCGTGTCGTGTTATGTGAATGTAGTGAATGCAAGCGGGGGTTCAACACCCCCTTGTTTTTGTCCTTCTCGCCCTCTTTGTTTTGGTATCATTGGGGCCCTGATTCACACCTTTTGCTCACAGGGGGCTGAGTCGTACTTGCGATGACAGCGTTGTAGGAGGAGGACAAATGGACACGAAAGACCTGAGGACCTATTTAATTTTTCTTTTTGATTCTTTTCTACCTGGATTGCTGAGATGCATCTGGCACAGATGAAAAACATGCTACCCTGAGCAATGAAATTCTTACATTGTCGTCCATTTTTGAATGCCAATAGTTAACCATATTAAAAAAAACGAATCATCATTGGAAGGACACAAACAATGTTGATTAGATAAAAAAAGAGACTAAACTAAGGATAATAAAATCAGAATGGAACAATATRAYAATGACAACAAGAAGGGAACTGTACAATCTGTTTTGAAARTGTAATGTGCAAATGTGCAACAGGTAACAGTCTGAAATCTGCACATGTGCATTCAGTTGTTTAAAAGTCTGATGGCACTTGGGGAAAATGAGTTCTTGTATCTAGAGATTCTGCATGTCACACTTCTGTACCTCTGGAGGGCAGAGGTGTAAACAGTCCATGCTGGGGRTGGGTTGGGTCTTTGATGATTGAGGCTGCTCTCCTGMGGACCCTGCAGTGGTAGATGCTCTGCAACGCTATAACACTTCATTAGAGCGCACTATACTGTGTACTTTGACTAACGTCATGTACACAGTTTATAGTGTTTTGAGTATAATGTTTACAYGCCCTTAAAATACACAGTACTTAGCGTTAAGAGTATACTATACTGYGCATTGTGGTGGGGTCAGAGTTCGAAAAAAAAATAGTCAAAATATATTATTTTTTGGTATTGACCCATGCATTTGCAATTAGCCAYATATAACATGTACGTTGTATACACTACACTAAACTCTATGCCTTCTTCCTTCTAGCTGATAACTTCTCCCAGTGAGGACAACAGTATGTATGTTCAGCAGAGGGATGAGTACCTGGAGTCAGTGTGCGAGATGGCCATAAGGAAAGTCTCCATTATCACTCTATTTGGCTCCCTGACCAACTCCACCATGAAAATGGACCATTATCAGATAGGTGAGTACTCCAAATACTAGTTTTGTAGCAGAATACAAAGTTTTGTAAATGTTAAGGACAACACACCTTAAGGCTGGTTGGAGAGGTTTGAGTGTCCCAATGATCCTAGGAGCTATGTTGTCAGGGGCTTCATGCCCYCTGGTAGGATCACCCAAGGCAAACRGGTCCTAGGTGAGGGATAAGACAAAGTGCAGCCCAAAGACCYCTAATATTGAGAACCACAAATGGACTTATTTTTCCCTTGCCTGGATGCGGGTCACCAGGACCCTACTCTGGAGCCAGGCGGGTCACGTTGGCGAGCGCCTGGTGGCCGGGTTTTTGCCCATGGAGCCCGGCCGGGCACAGACAAAAGAGGAGACCTGGGTCCCCCTTCCCATGGACTCACCACCTGTGGGAAMCAACCCTCTACGTTCCTACCCTCATCAATGGTCACAAGCTTTGGGTAGAAGATTGCGGATACAAGTGGCTGAAATGAGTTTCCTCTGTAGGTGTCTGGGCTCTCAGGGTGAGAATCAGAATCAGAATCGCCTTTATTGTCATTATAATTTGCATTACAATGAAATTGGGTTTGCTGCTCCAAGGTGCTTTTTTTACACACGGTAAAATAACTTTAGGAGAGCAGACAATACAATAAAATAGACAAGTTAAAATCAAATAAAGACAAAATGTGCACTGTCCAAAAAAAGAGAAATCAAAGAGTTTCTGTATATAGAAATGAAGAATATGGAAATTTTACAGTCTATTCTTCAACATTGCTCGTAATATTGCACATTAGAGATGTTCATGAGAAGATTTACTTGAGTTAATATTGCACACATTTTGTATTGCACATGGGTTGAAAAATTGAATGTTTGTTGCTGTTTTTTTATTATTATTGTTCAATCCCAGTTTTTATTGTTCAGTCCCCTGATGACTCTTGGGAAGAAGCAGTTTCCGAGCCTATTTGTTATTTGTYCAGGTTTTGTGTGACCCGTACCGTTCGCCCGAGGGTAGCATGTTAAACAGGTGGTAGCTGGGGTGGGATGGGTCCTTGATGATACTGACAGCTCTGCTTACAGAGAGGTGGTAGTGTCCTCCACACTGGGCAGAGAGCAACCAGTGATGTTGATCACCCTCTGCAGCACTTCTGTCTGCTGCTGAGCATCCCCCGTACCATGCTGTGATGTAAGGATGCTCTCAATGGTGGTTCTGTAGAACAGCACCAGCAGCTTCTCCTCCAGCTTGTTTCTCCTGAGAACTCTCAGGAAGTGGAGACGCTGCAGAGCTTTCTTCACCACCAGTTGTATTTGCAGACCAGGAGAGACTGTCAGTGATCTGCACACTCAGGAACATGATGGGGCGGACCCTTTCCACACTGACTGTATGTGAAGTGGTGCTGGTTCAGCTCTGCTCTTCCTTAAGYCCARAATTATTTCTTTAGTTTTTGTGGTGTTTAGTGGCAGGTTGTTTGCAGAGCACCTACCTGTCAGTTTGTTTACCTCGTCTCTATTATCAGACTCATCTCCCCCTGAGATGAGCCCAACCATGGTGGTGTCATCTGCAAACTTTATGACTGTGTTGGAGYGATGGATCAGAGAGCAGTCGTAGGTGTAGAGGGTGAACAGCAGAGGGYTCAGTACACAGCCTTGAGGGGATCCGGTGCTGAGTGTTATAGTGGAGGAGAGGTGGGGGCCTAAATTCACAGACTGTGGGTGGTCTGTGAGGAAGTTCTGAATCCATTGGCAGATTGGGGTGGAGATGCCCAGAATCTGTAGTTTCTGGACCAGGATCTCTGGGATGATGTGGTTGAATGCTGAGCTAAAGTCCAGGAAGAGCATCCTCACATAGCTCCCCCTATGCTCCAGGTGACTCAACGCGGTGTGGAGTGTGATGTTGATGGCCTCTTCTGTGGAGTGATTTTCCCTGTAGGCAAACTGGTGAGGGTCCAGAGTAGGAGGTAGACAGTCTCTGAGGTGTTGAAAGATCAGCCTTTTGAAGCACTTCATGACCACTGGTGTAAGTGCAACAGGCCTGTAGTCATTTATGCTTTCCACTGTGGACTGTTTTGGCACTGGGATAATGGTGGAGGATTTGAGGCAGGGTGGAATGGTGGCCAGCAACAGGGACTGGTTGAATATACAGGTGAAGACTCCTGCTAGTTGGTCGGCACACGCTTTATCAGCTTTCCAGGGACACCGTCGGGCCCGGCCACTTTCCTGGGGTTCACCGCCTTCAGCACACGTCTCACTTCATGTTCCTGGACTGTTAGCGAACTAGTGTTAGAGGGTGGTGGATGTGGAGTTGTTGCTGGTCTGTCTSYTTCAAAGCAGGMAAAGAATCAGTTCAGCTYYTCTGCCAGTGAGGCGTCAGTACTGGCATTGTCCCAGTTTCTGCATCTATAGTTGATGTGGTTTAAACCCTACCACATCATTCAGGGTCGTTCGTAGCAAAGTGGACCTCTATCTTTCTTTTGTACACGCCTTGGCCTCACTGTGTCCTCTTTTCAGGTCATCTCTGACTGCACTGTACTGGGCCCTGTCCCCCGATTTGAAGGCAGAGTCTTTTTAATAGAGACTGGACTTCGCTGGTCATCCAGGGTTTCTGGTTAGGAAACATTCTGACCTTTTTGTAGATGGTGACACTGTSAATGCAGTTTTTTATGTAGGAGAGAACTGTGTCCATGTACTCTTGTAGGTCATGGCTGGAGAACAGATCCGATTCAGTGCAAGAAAAGCAGTCCTATTGCTGTGTGAGGGCTCCCGGGTGAGGGACAGCCTGAGGTGGTCAGAACCAGTGAGGTGGGGGAGGGGGGGTAACTCTGGACCATGTTTCTTAAAATATAAAACATGCATACAAAGTATTTTTGCCTCTGGTTGCACACTTCATGTACTGGACGAACTTCGGGAGCACAGTCTTTAAATACGACATTAAAATCGCTGGCAACAATACAGACTCGATCGGGTGAGCCAGCAGCTGTTTATTAACACAGGCGTGCAGCACRCTGAGGGCTGTGCTAACGTTAGCATCAGATGGGATGTAAACAGTGAACACGATGACTACTGTGAATTCCCTCTGAAGATGGAAAGATCTGCATGAGACTGCCAGAACCTGGCTGGTTCAGTCATCGGTGTTCCGGGCACGTCCCACTGGGATGAGGTCCAGGGGAAGACCCAGGACATGCTGGAGGGACTATGTTTCTCAGCTGGCCTGGGAACACCTTGGGATTTCCCTAGATGAGCTGGTCCACGTGGCTGGAGAGAGGGAAGTCTGGGTCTCTCTGCTTAGGCTGCTGCCCCTGAGACCTGACCCTGGATAAGAGGAAGAAAACAGACGGACAGATTGACCAGAAGGCTGCTTTTAAGGTAGCCGCCCCTTTACTGTCCTCCCTACAATACTGGCTGTGAACACTTGGATGGAGGTTCAACTTTCATACTAACATTCAGGTTTCAAGTTCACATCAATGAGTCCTCACAAAAATAGGGAAAACTCCATTCTGACAATCTTACACWAACAGCAGAACCCACAAGCTTGTCTTTGAGAGGAACTATTTGGATGATGAAGTAGTTCAGATTTGCCCTAAATGCCACGGGCTGAAGCAGTCATTTGCTCCTAAATAGAAAATTGTTAAATGACACCATTTTGAGCTGCGCTCAGTTCAAATGTCTCAGTTTAAAAAAAGACTTGTTGAATTCAAAGTGAATGAAAAAAAAAAGCTGCACAGGTGTTAGTCGTTAGCAACAAGCTCATAATGTTTCCCGCAGTCGATGACTCAACAACTGCCTTAAAATAAAACTGCAAGACATTCTTTTACCATAAAACCTCTGGCATAAAGTCTAGAATCAAGACTCTTGGAGGATATTCTTTCAGTTATATAATTTTGTATAAAAATGTATCACAGACATGCCACTAAACTATTTTATTTATAAATTCCAACTTTTTGACACGAGGAAACAACAAAAAAGTAGGAAATACAACTCTTTTTAGATGAAATAGAGGGAAAAATGTAATCACTCAGTAAATTGCAGTTTTAAAACAAACACCTGCATCAGATTAAATCTGCTCAGTCTTCAGTTAAAAAGGGGTTCTCACACCTCAGGAAGCTGTTTCATAAAGCAGACTGACATAATTCATGGCTTCGACATGAGACATATCAGTTGACACAAAAGAAAGGATTATGAAATTTCTTCAAGAGCATAAATCATAATGAAATGTTGCACAAGATGTCTAAAATCTGAACAAAGTAGAAGCAAAATGGGAAGGTTGTAAAAGGGACACATACTGGTAGACAGTTTATATATTTGACAGTTTTGTAGGAATGAACACGTTTGTAATGTTTGTTCAAAATAAACCTGCTTCTTATGACTTCTGTAACATGTTTT